ACGGAAGTAGATTGCCCAGCCTTCTTTCCGAGGAGTGGCTAATGGGTTTGAACCGCCGGCCTCCTAGTTAGTAGTCAAATGCCTTAGTCATTATGACACCAGAACTCCTGGTAGCAGGATTGTTGTTGTTAGGTTAGCAGCCTAGCGCTTAACCATCGCACCAACAGAGCTGCTTACCTGAATCCCAGTTTTCGTTTTGTTTTTTAATCTTTACATAAAACATACAAACTATCGGCTAACACTTCACGGAAGATGGCAGGAAAATGTAAATGAAGAAGACCGTGATAAAAATATGTATGAACACAACGTGCTTGCATTTATTAAAATCAGTAAAAAATACAGTGAGATATATAGGAATATAGCTTTTTTTTTTAATTTTTTTTAACATAGGTCTCTGTTGGATGGATGTGCTACACTCAGTTTCATCACAATCCCAAAGTTTTGCTACAAAGAGGTAACGTAACAATAAATATGCGAGCTGCCGAAACCCGGGATCGAACCAGGGACCTTTAGATCTTCAGTCTAACGCTCTCCCAACTGAGCTATTTCGGCTACTTTAAAGTATCGTCTTTAGGTATGACTACCTTCAAAATACAAATTATTCTTTTTATCTGCAAGGTTCGTGTGTTTTAAAATATTTAATCGTAAGTTATTCAATATTATCAAGGAGCTCTGTTAGTGTAGTGGTAAGGCCTTTGGCTGCCAACCATACCCACCAGCAATTCTGTGGAAGAAAGATGGGGCAGTCGGCTTCCGTAAAAATGTAAAGCCCGGAAACCCACTGGGGTCGCTATGAGTCAGAATTGAGCCGATGACAGTGAGTTTGGCTTCGTACGTGTACTCAATATTATCCACTCCGTCACCCAAAATTCTGTGGGCTCCATTGCCATTCATGTCTGAAAAAATGCGATCCAATTTTTGGAGACTGAATGGTTTGAGACAGGAGAAGGAGGAGGGCCTGAAAGTGTCGGCAGGTTCAGCAGGAAGAAGGTTTCTGCTTGGTCGCCTCCGGCTCTTCCCCGCAGCAGACGCTGCTCAGAAAAAGAAGGAATTCCCAAATGAAATGATGGAGCCTGTTGTTTTTATCTTCTTTCAGTCCTTTTTCTATCTTGCTTTTCAATGACACTGGTAAAGGAAACAGGAATATTCAGCACAATAATTTGGTGACAACTTTCTTGATTTGGAGGAGAAACGGGAAAACATTTAAAGTCAATGCATTGGATAATGTCTTTATTTGTATGAGTACCGAAGATGTGTTTTTAAAGTGAGAAAAGTACGGAAATGTTGGAAATTGTAAAAAACAGATATGTGTGTATGGTTGCATATCCTCTCAAAGGAAGGACGTGCTCTGGTTAAGTCACACCTCTCTTATGACAAAGATGTCATGAAGATCTTCCTTGCAATATTAGCGATATTTCTAAGGGATCTTCCATTACAGAGTTGGCCAGGGAGAAAATACACTGTTTCAAATCCTACTGTTTCTTAAACCTCTAAGCTATATTTTTTTATGCTGCTGCACAAGAAAATATGTCAGGGGTTAATAAATCAATACTGTTTCTGTTCCTAGAATATTTCATCCCCTCAGCCAGAGTTATCTCCCCAATTGGGGGGGTGGAGAGCTAGCGTCCTTTTTTCTCTAACAGTTCTTTCTCTAATTTGCCTTGCATTTTAAGCACCAAACTAAAACAAGCCCACTGACATCTAGTCAATTCCAACTGCTAGGTATGCTATAGGACAGAGGAGAACTCCCCCCATAGGGTTTCCAAGGCTGTAAACCTTTAGGAAAGCTGACTGCTTTATCTTTCTCCCATGGAGGGTGTGGTGGGTTTGAAACACTAACGTTGTAGGGAGCAGCCCAATGCTTTCACCACTGTCCTACTAGAACTCTTTATTGTAAGTACAGTGCTCCAATATTTGAGAAGCCCAACGCAAAAACTACAAGCAGACCCACTATCTACATTCATCATTGCTCCCTACTCCCACCAATGGAATTTCCTTCCGCTCTCTTAAAAGTCCCCAATATCAGGGTTTCCACCCTGCAAATCAAAACATCTTCATTTGTGCCCTCCTAAGTGTGGAGCTAGGGGAGCTCTGGTAGTGTAGTGCCTATGGCATTTGACTGCTAACCAGAAGGCTGGAGGTTCAAACCCACCAGCCACTCCTCGGAAGGAAAATGGGGCAATCTACTTCTGTAGTGATACTGCGTCGGAAACCCAAGGAGGGCTCACTATGAGTCGGGTCCGACTCGACAGCACATAACAACAACAAGTGTGGAGCTTGTCTATTCTACACCTGCTGATGACTTTCATAGCCACAGTCTCAGACAAAAGAAACTGGAACTATTCTGCAGAATAAATGTTCCCATCCACCTTCCTTACAGAGACCTTCTTGCTGCCTGTGAACTAAAAGGAAGCACAAGACACAGAGAAAGCTCTGAAACCTTCTACCTCCTCCACTACCCAGAATCCTTTGCACCCACAAAGATCCAGGTCCAAGCCCTTTTCTACCCACCCCTCTTCTTGCTCCTCCTTTGTGCAGCAGCCATCTCTCTTCCTGATATCTGCTGCCTCCCCTTCTTCATCACTCAATGCATTACTCTGCCCTTTCCTACCCATCTCTCCCCTCCCACTTTCTCCCACTGCCCTCTTTCTGGATGAAGTTTTCCCAGGCCTCTATATTGCCAATCAAATGTCTAGGACACTGGCTCCCAAACCCACTTAATGATAACAAACATCTAGGGATAATTTTAAATTATATAGATTTATGCCCCACCTTATTTCAATTCATTCACAAACTGAGCTGTGGACCTAGGAATTCTTATTTTTTTTAATAATATTCTGAGGCTATTCCCAAGCTTTGGACCCACTGAAATCCAGCCTCTGGCATTTATGGCCCTTGTGTTTTTGTGTTGGAGGATCATTAGTGTTTGTCATATTACCTTTAATATCTTTATTTCATGGTGTAGTTAGAGATTTAGAAACTGTGTGATTGAAACAGTGGATTTTCTCTCTAGTCAATTATCAGACCTGCTACGACCCCTTAGAAATAGGACTAATAGTTCGGGAGGATCTTCGTGTTGTGTGTTGTTGGAAAAGTGTAGCTTAATCAGAGTGTGGAAACCATACCCAGGCATCTGCTTTTTACAATTCTCAACAATTCTATATTTTTCTCTATTTTAAAGCATGTTTTGTACACTCAGTTATTAAGCACATTATCTGATGAATGGCCTTGAAATATTTCCCCACATCTACTCCTTGAGTCTCCTCATCACCCAGGGTAACTGTGTTGGTACAAGGAAGACAAAGAAAAGTAATAAAACAGAGAAAACAGAACAGACTTGCTCAAGATTTCTTGAATTCAAAGCAAGAAGTCTGCCACCATATTAATGTGATCTACATTCCTGTGTTCCTTTTCCAGTGGCATTGAAGAGCAAGAGAGAAAGAACAGGCTGAATCATTGCATTTGGGATTCCTTACGTTTTCTGAGCAGTGTTTGGAGTGTGGAACAGCCAGAGGTTATGAAAAGTTAGAAAAATTTTGCCCTTTATTTTCCCCTTTCTAGCTCTCCTATTCCTCTGCCAACCCATCCAAGTCTTGGAGAACTGGATTCCATTTTCAGACATAAACAGCAATGGAGCTCATACAATTTTGGCTGTGGGAGTGGATAATATAGAAGAAATTAAGACTAAGTATTTGAGGAAAAAAAAAAAAAAACAGGAGCCTCAATAATGTTTGAAAGAACAGAAAAATAACTTTTCATGTGCTCGAATGGACTCTATGGCACCACCAGTCTATACAGTTCAGCAGTCCAATGCACATGTGTCCTCTATTCATCTGTAAAGATTAAACCCAAAACCCATTGCCATAGAGTAATTCCAACTCTTAGTTGTACTCTTTAAAGAAGCTGACTGCTACATCCTTTTTTCAGTGCAGTGGCTGGTTGGTTCAAAAAGCCAATATTTCTTTTTGGCAGCTGAGCGCTTAAACACTGTGCCCCCAGTGCTCCTCTGAAAAGATTACAGCCTATGGAGGAGTTCTACTCTGGAACATGTGAGTCAGATTCACCTGGACAGAAACAAGAATATCCACGCAATGTCAACCACAAATTTCTTACCTTCCCCCCTCACCAGTTTTGTTTTTTCTTTCTCCCATTATGAGAAGCCTGTTTTCCAAAAATACCAATATACATATTCATTTTCCCAAACATAAAATTTGCATGAAAAAAAAATAGAATTGATACATCCACAGCATTATTTTAAAAACAATCAATTTTGCTACACAGGTTTTAGTATTTGTTTGCCATTCTTTTTGTCTTACAATGAGGACAAAGAACTGTGTAAAATATTTATTTGGATCAGTTCACTCCTTCTCCAATGTATATATTATTCTTTTATAATTACATTAGATCTATTTTTTTCTATTTGTATTTAATTTTAGAATATTTTCACACACACTTCAAGAACCCACTGCTGTTGAGTCGGATTTGGCTCATAGTGACCCCTCCTTGGGTCTCCGAGGCAGTATCACTGCAGAAGTAGATTGCCCAACTTTCCTTCCGAGGAGTGGCTGGTGGTTTTGAACCACCAACCCTGAGGGTAGTCATCAAATGCCTTAGATGCTATGCCACCAGAGCTCCCATACGCATACTTCAGTTAGTTTTATTTATTTAATTTATTGCCTATGTAACACATTAATATGTCTCCATAGAATACAGAAAGTTACATTCAGAGAAGTTATAAGAGAATGTTGTATTCCAAGACTCACCCAAGCCATGAAGCAGAATCAGGCTCCCGGGTATCTGGTGGAAGACCATCAACCAGGAACAGTCCTTTCTTTCTAGCACTAAGGTATCCTTCTTTTGTTGTATCCATGTCCAAGAGAACACAGTGGGTCAAGTTTGGAAACAGCAGAAATGAACATGAAGAGATTTAATCTTGATAACTTAGTTTTCAAAAACTTGGTGAACAGTCTTGGAGATGCTTCTATTAAGTAGTTTATATAGGGGATATAGCTCAGTGGTAGAGCATGTGCTTCGCATGTAAAAGGTCCTGGGTTCAATCCCCAGTATCTCCACATTATTTTTCTCATGAAGCATACCCACAGAGCCTCTTACTCTCAGAAAATTACTTAAGTTATTTGGGTCCTGCTATTTCTTTCTTAACTAACTCCTAGGGACATTGGTGCTCACTTAAAGTTACTGGTTGTCATTTCTATTATCTACACAGTCTCTCCAAGCACTCTCAACAATCACTGGCACTTGGGCCACTGTCTGCATAACCCAAAGGCAAAGCAGTCCTTTTAAAGGGGTTGGGGAAAAATTGAGTAATAGGAGGCTGGAAAGTTTAAAAAAAGAAAAACCCAGTCTAGTGCTGTGGAATGGGCAATTCATTTCCTGCCAAAGATGAGAGCCATTTCTTTGTATCATCTCCCTATCCGGAGTGGCCTAAAACATTGAGAAGTTCATGTTAAACCCAGTTTGGGGCTGGGGAGGCTAAAACTTGCTGCCCTATCCTGTCTACTTCTCATTCACTGACATGGATATTGGGTAGATAGAAGCCATCAAGTACATAGTAACTTCTTTGTCTATTTATCCTGAAATTAACTTCTGAGTGTGATGGGCAGAGTTCCACCTGTTGAAGATGCTGCAACCAAGAAATGAAGCACTAATCTTAAAGACTCATGGGTCAAAGAGGGGGAGCACAGACATTTTAGCCCAAAGACCTCCGGTGAGGTCTACATTGTTTCAAGACAGTTGCTAATTCTATATTCTATATGCTGACAGTGTAATTATTGTAAATTTCCCTATACATATTTGCAGTTATTAATGCTGAGAATAATAATAACCTGAATGTGTTAGAGGACCAAATGCGGGTCCCTGCCTGGTGCACAGTCAGGCCGAAACAGTTTACACACGGAGTGATCAAGAGGAGAGAAAATTATTTATCGCAAAGCGGCAATGCAAGGAGTAGGGGTATCCTCGTATCCAGATCTGACTCCCCGAGATGCCATCGAAAAACAGTTTCTGTAGGTTTCAGAAGAGGGGGTTATGCATGTTCACAAAAACTTGAGGAATTTGGAGCGTGAAATGGTTGTTGATTGCACCTGGAGGCGGATGAGTCACACCAGCTTCCTGTCATCAGCTGATGGGGGCTTAGACAGAGGGGAGGGTGTCCCGTTCCATTAACTTCTGTTCCTTTCTGCCCTACTGCACATGTCCATGGGCCAGAGTTAATTCACAAGTTGTTTTCTAAGACACTTTTAGCACGTCTATCACCTGTAGGAAAGAATGTTTTTCTTCCATTCAGTTCTTTAAGGAACTGAATACTCATCTGCCTGGGGTGGGGAAATAGTTGAGGGTAATTTAGTTTACTTATCTATTCCCATCCAGGGTCTTATCTAATTATTTGCTGCACACGTCACAAATGAAGCAACATGAAAGGATTTAATAGTTTTTTTATTATTATTTTACAGGAAGGGGGGGGGGGCAGGCGGACGCCCTGCATGTTCTTTGAGAGCGACCCCTGATGCTTTTGTTCTACTTTATTTATATGTTTGTACATGATTACATCATTAGTCTTGGAAATCATACAATCAGCTTATTCTCTACAGAGCTAAAGTTTTACTCCTCTGTGTGCTCAAGGACAACAGGTGGTCGTTAAAACAATCACAGAAGTCTTCTCAGGAATAAGGAGTGCAAAACGATAAATGTTTTACTAGGACACAGTGACCCAAAGTATATGATAAAAACACGGAGAATAACAACTAAGTTTAATACTGTGATGTTTTGCCAATTAAGTAATAAGGAGTGCAAAACGATAAATGTTTTACTAGGACACAGTGACCCAAAGTATGTGATAAAAACACGGAGAATAACAACTAAGTTTAATACTTTGATGTTTTGCCAATTAAGTATTTAACAGTGAGAGAGACCTTGGCACCTCTTAAAGCAACATTCAACCACAGAGAGGCCTCGCCATCTCTAAAAGCAAACACTCCATCACAAGAGAGGCCTTGTCATCTCTTCACTGTAACTAGAACGTATGCCTTGCAATCATGTTCTTTTGGGGGTCTTTTTCTCCATCCCCAACAATTTCCCTTAACCAGGGTGGGGAAAATAGTTTTTACTTTACTCAGTTTCAGATGAATCAATGTGAATTTGATCCTACAATACAGAATGCTAAATAAAAGGAATTTTGTGTTTTGACCTAAACCAGAGGAAAATCTTCTAGAGGAAAATCATGTAGAAGGAGGCATGAAGGTGAGGAAAGGCTGTTTTCGCCATAGCAAAGGAGGGGTAGGTTATGACAAAAGAAGGGAGGAGCCAAGAGACCTGGAGGTCTTTCATAATGCATGGTTCCCTTTTCTCTTCTCTAAAAAACTCTGATTACCCACTTCTACCAGTCTGTCACAAGCCATCCTAAGCCACTTTTGAGGTCACCTACTTGACTTGGAAAAGAAAGAGGCAGTCTGCTTCCGTAAAGATTTATAGCCTTGGAAGCCCAATGGGGGTCATTTTGAGTTGGAATCATCTCAATGGTGGTGAGGTTTTTTTTTTGTTGTTGTTTGTTTGTTTTTACTTGACTTGGGAGTGACTCACCTATATCCCCTCAGCACCTATACTGTTGTTGTTATTTGCCTTCGA